CCAATCCTCTCCTCACACCCAATCCATCAATAATTTCAACTGTGGACCACGCTCGATCTAACGGTGGCTGGCCAATTAATCGCCAAACAATCCTACGATTGAGGTATTAGCCAATGGCTCAGCAATTGGCATTTCGCCACATTGAGTTATGGCTACCAGCGCTTTCGTGGGTCAACTCCGATATAATGAATATTGGAGATCTTGAATGGGAATTGGACCTTCGGTGAGCAGCAACATTTCTATATTATATATGTTGTCTTCCTTTTCCATCTCCCCCTCAAGTCTTTCTATCCATCGATCTCTGACTTCTGACCTAGATTTATATCTATCCCTGTTACCTTTCTATCTTCCCTTTCTTTCAAAACTAGCCCGTCACACTTTCTCAAACACACCATGCCTAGACCTAGAATTACACCCCAAACTCCTCCAGCAGTGCGATCTCCCTACGCCCGTGTGGGAACCGCAGCAGCTCCAACTCCTCGCAATACCTCTAGTGCGCGTCTTACGACTTTGTCCCGTGAAACTTCGAATGGCACTTTGGCACCTCGAGCGTCCACCACCTCTCGAGCTGTGGGTGGAGCCTCAGGCGTCATTTTGGCTACAAACCATGGGCAAGCCCTTCAGTATGGACCTGGACATCTCGTGACGCGCGAGGCCACCGACCAAAAGGTCTATGTTGATGACTCCCCTGTGAGGTCGAATCCCCACCGGTCCAATGTCTACTTGTATTATGATGCAAGTCCTTCTATTTTTGAGTCCGAAATCCTTGTTTATCAATGTTTAGCATTGACATTGACATATAACCCAATTATAGGAACCGGAGGCGGCTCCTGGACCCGCCAATGGAAGTGGCAAAGGTGATGAAGCCAAGGTCTACTACTGTCTTCACTGCCCGTAAGTATTCAACCACCTTGTCCCATCTGATCACCCGGATTTGTCACTGACTAATGATGTTTAAATTTTATTTAACAATGTTAGTGTAGCCCTGACGATCTCTGGTCGTCCAAACTCGAACCTCCATAAGCACCGCCGAAAATGTCCTGGTCTGGCGGTAGCCTGGATGAACCGAGAGCCTGGTAGCATTGCTCCGGACGAGGATCCACTTTCTGCAGCCGAACGCAAGAAAGTGCTCCGTAGGCTTCTTATTGGCGCGGTAATATCCAAAAACCTTCCTTTCTCGGTCTTTGAGGGTGTTTTGATGGAGAAAGCTTTACGGGCGATCTGCCCGTCCTTCCCATGGCCTGGTCGAATGACTCTCAAGGCAGATTCGGAAGCCTTATTCTACGAACTGGAAAAACAACTTATCGAAGAGATCTCTCATGTGCCTGGATCTATTTCCACGGCCACCGACTGCTGGACGAGCACGGATTTTTCTCACACATACATGGCAATTAACGGATTCTTCTTTAACTCTCAGGGCAAGTTTTGCCGACGGCTACTTGCATTCAAGGTCAGTAACTGTCTTTATGTCTCTTGCGTTTATGGTTTTTCCCGATTTCACCTCTTGATCTTACTCAACTGTGTTTTGCTTGCTTTTCCTTTTGTTTCAGACCCTGAAAGGCAAACATACCGGCGAAAATTTGGCTCAAGTCTATTGGAATGCTCTTGAACACGTGGGAGCGGTTCAGAAACATTACTCAGTTACCGGTGACAACGCTTCCTCCAACCGCTCCATGGTGCGTTACTTGAGCGATCGATACGCCGAGTTGGGGACTAGCTGGCCTTTTGCATCCCGGTTTCATGGGTGCATGTGCCATGTAATCAACCTAGTCGCCAAAGATTTCCTCGATGGGATGGGCGAGTTGACTGATGCCGATATCGCTGCTTACGAGGACTCTGGAATGGCCGAACCCCAACAAGCTTTCGAACCGGAAGAACCTATCCTGATGGACCTCGACTCTCAGTCAGAAGAACTCGACCCAACCCAAAACGATTTCGACATTGTCCAAGCAACCTATGACATGGAGGCAGTGCAAGAGTCAGTCGAAACCGAAGCAACTCAAACCCAGCCTGAGGAATCACCCACCGTGGAACCTTCCACCCGTAAGAAGTCGACTGTCGTAAGCCGGATTAGAGCTTTGGATACTCACATCCGCAAGAGTCCTCAAGAACTCGAGGCCTTCATCAAGATCCGAGAAAGCGTAAATGACCCGGAACTTCTCCCTATGAGCTGCCCTCCCACCCGGTGGAACTACTTTTTTTACATTGGCTTCATCGATCGAAATCTCTTCATACTCATGCGCTAACACCAATGCGTGTCTTAACAGGTACAACAGTCTTTGCTTCTCAAAAAATCGCTGACTCTCTACACCGATGACCCAAAACGAAAAAAATTGGCCATCTCGAAAACCGATTGGTCAACTATTGAATACTTGCTTCCAGTGCTTGAGATGTTTGAACGTGCGACACAAATCTTTCAATCCAACGATCCCACAAAACACAAGGTCCTACCGGTGCTCTGGGAAATTCAAAAGGTGTTGCGTAAGCATATGCAAGTGCTTGGCAATTGGGGGATGGCTTGCCGTCGCGCTGAGTTGAAGCTCATCAAGTATTTGGCTCGTGAAGAGGGCAATGCCCAAACTTTGGTGTCTACTCTGCTTGATCCACGTTTTAGGGACAAGATTTTTGAAGGCCACATCAATCGTGACGGGGTGGCCACCTCAGCCAAGAAACAGCTGCGTGATGAGTATAACCTTTGGAAACCCAAAGAAACACCTAGCTCTTCTCAACAATCGACCCCTCCTGCTGAACATGACCCTGAACTCGACAACTTGGACGAGATCTACTCGATTTTGGGCACCACTGCCATTCCGTTGTCCACCAACGCCACTCGGTCACTCGACGAACTTGACCGATACTTCCTTCGGGAAGATCCAGTCCTGCCTGGCGAAACGATTGGCCAATTTTGGACTGTAAGTGTTAGGAGCTCGATTTTGATTTATTTTTGGCATCAAATCAACAACTGACATGATTTTGTTCACTCTGTGTAGCGTATGTCAACCACCGGCGCCCTGCCGGTGTTAGCCCGGATTGCCCTCCAACATCTCACCATAGCCGCAGCAGCGGCCTCAGTTGAACGGGTTTTCTCAATCTCAGGAAACATTGCCGTGCCATCGCGAGGCCGACTTTACACCAATACCATCTGTCACCTTGTCCTTCTCCGTCATTGGCTCGGCAATGACCAGGCTACAGTTGAAGTTGATGCCATGGGTTGAAAGAAGGGTGTCACTTTTGGCTTTGTTTAAATCGGTGAAATTGTCTTCAACTCTTTCATGAAATATCCCCGATCATCATAAGAACCAATTTGTTCCGAATTGTATTTCATGATTTCTTTATTTACCTTATCAAATACCGCCAGTCTTGTAAGCTCTTGACTCTCATAGGGTGGTTGAACTGTGGAGCCAATGAATGATCAAAAGTTATCTTGACAGTCCACATTTATAATGAGGACTGGCAATTTTTTTAAATGTGAGTACTCGCAGTGTACTCGCGGTGAGTACACATCCGAGTGAGTCTACTCATTTGGTGAGTAAACTCACTTTGTTAGTACTCTTCGACCGGGCCATAATGAGTCCCATCCTCCTTGCGTACTCTGCCGAAAATTACCGTGGGAGTATCTGTACTCTATGTGTAAATCTGTACTTCGGTACTCAACTTGAGTACCAAGCGCGGGCGCCCGAGTGAGTGAGTCTGAGTAGACTCACTTCTGCATTCCTGGTTTGAGTACTGTAATTGGTGTACCCTGGATCACCAACCGAACAGAACCGACTTATATGACTTATTGTGATATATAATAGATCATTACTTCTCACACATAAATTATTTGTATCAGCTCTGAGACTCATCTCCGGCATTACAGATCAGGGGACGGTCTTTAATGTAGCCCAAACCATCCTCATTGTATATATCTAATGATTACTTCTCACCAACCTTTCATGAAATGTAGCTATTTGGCCTTTTGCTCTTGGCCGGTGAGGGACCCTGTGTCACATTATGAGGCTTGAGTTCGGCAAAGGGGCTCATCATTCTCACTATATAATCCCCACACAAACAAAGGTTCAAACCCACAATACCCAATGTCCAACAATCCTGCTCCATATAACATCAATCCACTTAAACCCCATATAGCGCTACCTTTTCCTCCTGTTCCTGGCAAGCTCAGCGGCATCATCTGCAGTTCTGAGAATTGCCGGTTAAGACCCTGCCATTCAACTGTATATTTTAAACCACACAAACAACCCTACGCTCCTCTGATTGGCATTAGGGTACGCATGTTTTTCTCTCACATCTACCTCTGATGTTGAATACCGTACCTGATGACGATTGGTCAAATTCCTCCAGTGCAAGATTGACCGCACTCACTTTTGTCAGTATTGGCTGGACAGGTTCTCATCCGAAATTCCAGCACACAACAGGCAGTTTGGCTGAGTCAATCAAAACATTCAAAACCCCATTGTTCTCTCTGACAACCACAACTTTCAGGACAGTCACATCGGAATGGACTTTGGCCATTTGCTTAATAGTTTTACCCCCGCAACTCCACCTCCTACCCAACCAACTCGCCCCAATCCCCCAGACCGAGTCCTGCCCACCCACTGTCGCGGCTACTTAGGACGTTTTGCTGAAGGACATCTGTTGTTGAAGAACAACAAATGTTCAATCAAAGCCTGCTATCATGTGAGGCAATCAAATAATTCATAGGGCCGTGATACAAACTGATGACTGACATGTTTCGATTCAAACTCAATAGTGTTGCAACGAACTCAACACCGATTCTGTCTGTCGCACTCATGCTTCCCAGTCTAAGCGTAAAGTGAAAGAGGCACAACAACAACAACTTGAAGCCGCGCCTCCCAATGGTTCAAACTCCAACGATGTCGGCTCAACCTCCAACAGTTATTCAGAGACGGCACCAACTCAAGCAGGACGTCTTTACACTAGAAAACTTACTTCTCAAGAACTTGATAAGTTCAAGACGTTGGCCATTGAGAAACAGGCGTTTGAAAGGTTGCATAAGGCAAGCCTAAATACGGCAAAGAAGAACATCACACTTTTGTTGTGGTCAAACCCCAATGTGCGTATCCACTACTCAATGGCTGTTTGCTTCAACACTGACATTGTTGAACATCCTTCACCTCCCTTAACCAGACTGAACCACACGGATTGTTAGCCCACGCCCCTCAATGGCCGTTACTAGCTTTGGATGAGTCTGAAGACCTCATGAAGGTTGTTCAGGAGACACTCGGTAATCAACTTCGACATAGCTTACAGGTTTGGAATGAGCACGACGAAATATGGGTAAGCATTATCCTTCTTTCTTTCCCAATTTACCCGATATGCTCATATTCACACCATTCAACATAGCTTCTTACTCCGACCAACATGATACAATCTTACGCATCAGACCGCCGTAAAATTCTGATACGATTGCCCACTGTCAATGAATCGGACTGCAAGGGTCTAGAATTACACAAGGTTCAAATGGCCGCCTCACTTACCAAGGGCTCAATGGATCTTTGTTACTTTCTAACTCCATCTTCATCTAACAAGATTTCGCGCAGTACCCCAATCCACACTCATAGTACACCAATTCGCATAGACAGTTCACCAATCAACGCTCACCAATCTAGAAGCCCTTCAAACTCTGACATTCAAATTTTGTCAACTGCCGACTCCGAACCGACCACTGATGAAGAAGGTGATGTTGCAAGCTCTTTAAAATGGCCTCATTCGGTGTCTATGATTCAGATGCTGGCTTTCTTTGATGCTTCTACGCGACCCAAAACTCACATCAAAGCCGCTTGGTCAGAGGTCTTTGGCAGCCCACACATGTACAAGAAATCTACTGTTACACGTTATCGCCAATGGCTTGGATTTGTGCCTCAATCAACACTGGATAAGTATATTACAACACATGGTTCCAAGAAGACTATTCATCAGGCCACAAGATACTTTCACGACACGTGGGCCAAAAGTGCAAAAGTTGTTGACAGTAAACCTACAAAGCATCATAAGACTTGATTTGCCGGTTGTGTTATTTTGTCTTGCTCGGAGCTCAAGTTGTCTTTTCTCTTATTTTTTCACCCCTTCCTCCTTCTGATCGCAGAAACCTGTGGTTCCTCTGTTTTATATTTTAATTTAATTACTCGCCACTTTTCATTTTCGTTCATTACGACATGTGTATAAGTTGTGTATATCTTATCGTTACTCGCTTTTGTAAATAAGTATATATCCATTCTGCTAATCTTCATTATTTCTTGAAGTTAACTACACGCTCATTATGACCTATTGACACAATGAGAAGTTATACATCAACAGCCTCGTCAATTGAGAGAACTAAATTAATAAATATGTCAAACAATTAAGAATCAACATCCTTAATAAACCCACGCTAGTTAGCATTGCTACCATTCCTCTAGCTGCTACCATCAACCGATTGGATGACCCCGATCGGTCGATCATGTTTCGCTTACTTTGTTTCTGATATTGATGACTCAATCATGGAACTGCACAACCAACATAAAATAATAAGGATTATAGTTCTATCATTCGTATTGTCAAATAACAGAACTACATTACTCCATATGCCAATTGATTGTTATTTAATTACATATAGTAATGCTAGTTCAGAATCATCGCTTGGCATATTTGCTATGCAAAACTACAAATAAAAGACTGTCACTGTACTCTCGTATTGGTTTCTCCATTTGGTTCAATCCTTCTCTTCCAATATTGACTTCATTGAAATTAATTATCTATCTTTCCAGGTGGGATTTGATTTCAATCATTCCGTGTTATTGATTTTGTTGCTCACAAATATTTTTATTAAAATTCTTTGAATGGTTCCTATAAGCTGCAATGCCCGCCCCAACCTCCTCATCCACACCTACTGAAGCGACTGTAAATGTAGCAAACAAGACGGCTAGTAGCACTCCTGAATCAGGAAAGGATGATATCGAACCGTCAGTCAAAAGTGTTACACCTTCTCGTCATCTCGCTGTTACTCCACCTGCCGGTGCAGTAGGTAGGCTCAGTGCCCGAGGTCATCCACGAGCTAGCGGAAGGTGTTATTACTTTACTCTCAACTAAACCGGATGCAGCACAAAATTTGGTCAAAATTGGTGACGGTGAGTATAAATATTGTAATGTTCAACACCTGACTATTAGGCAATTCAACTTACATTGAAACTTTTTATTGTGTAGAAAATCACTTATACCTCAACATTGGGTATAACCTCACAAGGCCAATTGCTCAGCTTCGTCCGGATTTACCCGCCATGCAGTTTGGCTTCATGTACGGTGTGATCTCAGACCTTCACGCCAACATGAACATGCGACTCACTTTTGACCCTGAAACTGTAAGAGATAGTGGATATACTGAAACCTTTGTTTCTTACAAAATTGGCCAACCAATCAGTATGATTTCAACCCGAGACATGTATGATTGGAGTACACATGAGATCTACGTTGATTGGGAGCTACTTCCAAAGAAGCTTACCGCGAAACAACATCAACGTTGGACCAGCCTTGCCGCCCAATCACACTGTTTGGCACTCTCAAAGGCGAACCTGTATGTCACTCGCATGCTTTCGTATTATCAAGAAAGCCTTCGCATCCTGTGGACGACCCATCGCAAACCTAGCAGTAAGGCAGCTACGAACCTTGAGAGTTTCTACAATCAAGCAAAAAGACTCCAGGTAAGTATATATATGCTCCGATGTCAAGTAATTATATTATCCGACTAATAAACAACATTCATTTTGATGTAAGGTAAAGAACTTGTACCTCTTACAAAGTTTGGTAGCTCAACCACCTGGACAAACTGGTTGGTATATGTGCGAGAGCCAGCATGAATCTCAGCCGAAGGGCTATGTTTGGTATTATGATTTTTATGACAAAGAGGCCAACACCAATCCTTGGAAAGATTACATTCATTCTTTAATTCATCATGCCTATCATGAAAGTGGTAGGCAAAGTTTGATAGTACAGATTGACTGTGACCAAGAGGGCAGAATAAGCGATGTAGAGTGCTACAATTCACAGTAAGTCAGATAGACGCTTGATAGATGCTACTTTTTACTCAGTCCACCCGCTCTTGATTATGTGTATGTTCTCATAGAGATCTAAAGCGAGGGCCAGGCGACTGGGAGGACATGGATAACACTTTCTTTTTGTTTCCACTGCACCATAAATGTAACCATCTTTGTGATCGACTTGGCTTACCAAAGCTGAACTGATTATTGGCTTCCTTTATCTGCTATCCATCATTTCACTTTGACTAATCTCTAGTACAAATAAGCTTTCAAATGATGGTTTTATTGTTATGTTTTTGATATGTGGCCATGCAACTGCAAAAGTGATGCGTATGGTATGGATGATTATTGTTATTCAGCAGAATACTTGATATCTGAGGTCAAGAATTTGATGGCAGAAGTTTTGAATATAAGATCTGACAAATGTTGATAGTACCACATCACTTGTCGTTTTGTGATTGCGTTATAATGAATGTGTAGTAGATTTCATACAGATTCATCAAACAATGAAGGGAAGCAGGAATTAAGGAGAATCACTGATTTACAAAAGCAAGTGACGTTAAATAGTAAGACACAACAGATGATGACAATCACACGCTATAATGTAAACGACCGGTGGGTGCAGACTGAAATTTGGAGCAAAGATACATTAAAAAAATTGATTCAAACAGTTATAAATGTTAAATGAGACGAGAAGAAAGAAAAATAAAGATAGCAAAATCGGGTGCATTGATCATCAAGGTCAAAAAATATGACTTGTAATTAAAGCAACTCTCTGGATAACCGTTATACCTACAACGACGTAGTGTTGTAAAAGATGTTTCCCGAAAACTCCACCTTGGCACGTTTTGAAATCTTTTCGCATAGACGTTTGTTGTGAAGTCTGATCATTTCGTTCAAGAAAAAGTTATATCTGGTTGCGTGCATCATGTGGCACATTGCGTCAAATCGACCAAACCACACATTTTCAATCTCGGCAGCAGACGAGTTAAACTTCCACTTTCCATCGGCTTTTTTCAATTCAGGGAACTTGTTTGGATCATTGTTAATGCGACATGTTGAATGAGATTCTTTGTGTGACTTGAAATGGAAACTGTCTACCGGGAGAAGTGTATTCTTGCAATGCGCTGTGTCTTCCTTGCTTGTGCGGATGTGAGAATATAGATTACATGCGTTATCGTAAAATATAACTGGTGGCATATCATCGGGGTTCGGGTAAAGCTCTTTTATCCAAACCTGAAAGGTTGGTTCATGTGATACAATCAGGTAAGGTTTTTTTTCATTAGGAACTTTGAGTAATGTGTGCTTACTTTGACCTTGGTCACCGATTCCAATACAAAGAAAGTTTTACGTGCTAATATTACGCCACATGGGGCCACCATCAGCTGTTCGTTGTGGGTCTTACAACGGGAGAACAAGATTTTGGGTTTGTTGACAGCAGATTCCCCACCATCTCGGTCCACCTCGTTTTCGCGTTCTTCTACCTCACAATATAAAAGATCTTCCTCACTCATGTTCACTTCCCCAGTTTCAGTTGAAAGTAACTCGCTCGGATCAATCTGAATCTTAGCTTTAGGCCGGTTGAGCCTCCTAGGCAAGCCAAACATTGTATTGTTGCGTTCTTTGTAAGCTTTGTATGCTTCAATATGCTCGATATCATCACAGGTTTGACTGTTGAATGAAACCGGTCTCATGCAAGGTTGTGCCTTACATATACCGCTGAGCAATTTTGTGTGCGTTGGGCAATAGCGGTCATGGACCTTGTGCAGAGGTTCATCACAATAGTTTGAAGCTCTGTGGGGATCGAGGACTTTGAGTTGGGATTCGGTGACACTACAACACCAGTGACCAATAGTTATGCCATCGGTGACAAGGGCACGCATGACTTTGTAAAAGGTAATATAAGTATTGATATTAATGTGGTTTTTCAAACAATGAGTATAGGTACAAACGTACTAGTTGCTTTGTCTGTCCCAGGTATCCTTTCAACTTTAGTGCAATCAGAACACACATGAGCCAAATATGGGGTGCCTTTGACTTTCTCCCATTCAGAATGGGCTTCCATTGCTGAAAAAAAACGGCGATCATCTGTACCCTTGCCATCACTTATCAATCGTATCCCTCGTTTGCTGGAAGATCTAAGTAATCAGTGGATGTCCAGCCCCTGGGAACAAACATGCGGGCTAATCCTGCGTGTATAATTAGGATCATTGAAATAATTCATGTAGTCGGCCTCAAGGTCTGCGTGCGTGTGATTGTATGAGTTTACAAGGTTGTAGACCGATACCCTACGTGTTTAGACAATGAAATAAGTCAGTATTTGTTCTATGTGTAATCAGGCGAGTGAACTCACACTGCAAGCATTTGTAAGTGGTTGAAGTAGTCGGCTAATTCATGGCTCATGAAGTAATGTTGAGTGACCTGGAAATATAACGTGGGCTGGCCTTCTTCCGGTGTATAGTATTCACGAATACCGTCGTGTCGGATGTAACATGGCGTATAAGTTGAGTTACATTCTAGGCAATGAAGATGATGATCATTGATGTCAGTGGTTCATTCCAGTGTGAAGTAAGACAATTTTCTACACTTACTACGACAGTAACCATTAAAGTGCTGGACGGTTTCTATTCCTTCAAGACCTAAGTGATAGCCATACACTTGCCGTCAAATTTCAAGTGCAACTGGCCCACACTCGTCAATACAATTGAAACAGTGTAAGGTAGGAGGGTAGAAGGTGTGTTCAGGTATGACCAGAGCACAATTGGGGCGGTCCTCCGTTGGAATACCATTAACGGGTAAGTTGTTGGGATTGTGGTTGCAAGACGGAAGGTCGTAATACATGAAGTGCCAGAGCCTTTGTCAGCCCTGAGTACATATACATGTACCCAAAACTAACCTGTAACAGTAAAAAACATATGTATAAGATTAACTAAATGTTACATACTGAGCATAGACTGTATGTAACATGTAATACAATGTATTAAAACCTTTATTACATATATATGGACCTGTAAAACAACATGTAATATGTAACAAAACACCAATTACACCTCATAAATCAGTGTCAAGAGTTAAAATGCTTATATCACATACCACACACAAGGTATATGTAATCAAGCATTACTAGTAACAATCAGTACTACATGTCAATAACTAAACCTGAACCAATGTAGTGATAATAACAAATATCACTACAGTTAGGTTTGGAGAGGAGAGTATATAAACCCTCCTCTCTCAGCCTTCAGAGAATCCCCCAAGCAATTATTACCCACTACTTTTAAAGAACAATTAAAGTTCACTGAAGTAAAATATCAAGAGTCTTATACAAATAAGACTAGTGATAAGCTTCATCAACTTTAATCAGATTCCTGATTAAAAGTAGGTAATACAATTCTTCATTTCCCTCTGGATCCTCTACTTCCCCTAAGTAGAAACCCAATCAAGGCTAGTGACCTCCAACAACTCCAGGCTAGTGACCTTAAGAAGAACTTCAGGCTGGTGACCTTAAGAATAACCCCAAGTTGGCAACTTTAAGGACAACCAGATTGGTGAACTAACTCACTCTTTGATCTGTTACTATAAAGATTAAAGGAAGGTCCAGGATCCAACCTTCATATATTATAATACACATCATATTATAATTACTGAATCTCCTTTTTAGGAGTCAATTAACTGAAGTCTGTCTGGATTTGTCCAAACAGACTGTCAGTTCCTTTTCTTCTCTTTAATTTTCCTTCTTTACTTCAATTTGTAACTACTACATATTTGAAATAAAGAAGTAAAATTTAATAAACTTACCATTCTACCCTTTAGTGAGCACTGAGTACTCCTACAAAGAGCACCCAACCCTCACATTTGGGGGCCTCATCGTGTTAAAACCCAACTTAAAACCTCAACTATTTACCAAAGTGTGAGATTTCATACCTCTAGACAGAAGTTTAAGAACCATCATAATTAAAAACAAAGTGTGATTGGCCACAAATCACCCTACTCAACTCATAAAAATCACCCTGATACAAATTATCAAAAACTACATATCAAAACAAAAAATTGAACATTGTGATTTAATCATCAATCACCTCACCCAAGAACAATACCATATCAATTTAAAACTTAGAAATTCAGCAACCCTCTTAAAAAATATTTTTTTTTCAGTCTAAGAGATTTCAAGCAATTGTAGTTATTTTATTACATAACCTTGAGTGACAAACTGAAGAGAGGTATTACGAGTAATTCTTGAAAAGCTAAAAAGCCCTGAGATAACACTACAGAAACAACGAGTCGGGTACCATAGTTACATATACATACTCACAAGACATTGAATTTCGAAAAATCATCAAGAAAGGAACAATTCCTTTTGAATCATATCATAATCAAAGAAACAAAAAGGACTATTGATTTCAGGATATCACCGTGGACGAGTCGATCAAAAAATAAGCAAAAGGGAAGAATCAACAAAGGAATTCGAATCAAAATCAAAACAAAATCGAAGTTCCGCCAATTGGAAAGCCACCAAACAAATCGAACAACCACACCGTGAGTCCAATAAAGCCACAAAATTCGTTTCGATTTCTTACTTACCCATCCTTTCCAAATCCCTACATTTCTTTCTTCTATTAATTTTTTTTTCCTTCATCCACCTAGTAATTCAATTCAAAACAGAGCTGAATCGAATAAACAAGATCTAAATTACACCACAGTGTGATCAAATAAAACGAATGATAGCTTTCGGTCCTACTTACCACCGCAGATAGACCTCAATCGATCATCACCTAGCGACAAACACCAATAAAAGTAATACAAAAGTGAGTCAGCAAATAAAAAAAAAAAAAAAAAAAAAGAGGAAAGAGGAAAGAAGAAAGAGATACTAACCTACTTCACATTCACTAGTGATCATTGAACACATCTGTATAGGAAGCAAAGCCAGTCGACGAGTTCAAGAGTATAAGACGCATCCTATCCTCGAGAACGATCCATCCTTAAACAATCAATTTGAGAACAAATCAGATTGTTACCCTTCTTCTATCAAATCGATCAACTTCAAAAACCTCTTTAACCTTGTTAAAGTCATTTATAAACTTAAAAGTAAACATCACTTCATCCCTCTATAACTCTTGTCACCCAGAACCAAGAAAATATACTAATCTTCTTTTATTTCGCTTTTTGCTTTTCTTCCCTATTCCATTTCTCGAAATCAATCTGAATTTTTCTAATTCTTCTTTTTCCTATTGTTTTACGTTAGACACCAACTACTGTAGTGTCGTTCCCACACCTTTTTAATTCGTTAGACTTGGCCAACCACGGTACACCTCAGAACGGGCAAACGGGCCATCAATCTGTAGGTGTTAATCGAAGCGAACGCTCCACTCCTGCAATCGACGGGTCAGTCCTTGATTTTGAGGACGCATACGGAAACGTTACCCAGGAACCAATCAAAATCGAGTCGACTGTCGCGACACCAATCCCCCAAGATCCTTTGGCGAACATCGATATCGACTCCCCCGGATCAGAAGTGACCGCGAGAGACGAAACGAGAGCCCCAGGACCCTCACCTGAAGTCTTAGCAGCCCAGTTTAATAGTAAGTAATCAATTACTTCTACATCTTCCTTACCTCAAACCATCCTGTTCATCTAAAACAATACTATATATTAATCTTACTAATTGATTCAATCTAAATTTAGATAACC